GTCTGTGCAAAGATACAGATACAAATGTACTTTCTCATCAGAACTACTGGAGAATAAACATGGATTCCATAAACTGGGCTAAAGCACAAAGAGGGTCAGACAGTCAAGCTTCCCCTCAGGAAACAGGCTCTCCAAATAAAGCTGGTTATAATGAGTTGGCTTCCTCAGAGTAGAGAAACTCTGGCTGTGAGAATTCCTCACCAGCAAGTGGAATGGAGGCTTAAAGAAGCAGCAGCTGCAAAGCGTGCGATTAGTACCACAGGAAGACGGAGGTCTGTACCCGTGGCCAGAGCTTCCCCAAATTATGAAAGGTCACAAAGGGACACCACATGGCATTGCTTTGCTAACTAATGAGATAATGGGTCTTATTAGCCCCCTCCCCCTTTTACATAAACATCATAAGGACTAGATCTGTCTCCTCTCCTTCCCACCAGCTTTCAGCAGATGAAATACATGCTTGAAATGGATTCCACCTGCTGCTGCCTCTTCAGCTCAGAAAGAATGCTAAATCAGCTGGTTAATTAGCTCTAAACATACAACACACAGGTGGCTATTATTTGAAAACCATTTCTCTCCAAATTTTTATTGCTAAAAAATTTTCTGGGCAAGCAAAACCGTTTGACATTTTCTGGAGTTTTGAGCATTATGAAACGTTAAAAGTGATATGCTTTCAAGTGGCTTTCAGGAGTGGTTTGATGTACGTCATTCTCTTGCTAAGGTATCTCACCTGGCTAATTTAGCGAAAAAATATCTAACAGAGAGAGGATCTCTGACTACACATTTGTTGATTACTTGCATGAAAAGTATACTTTTCTTATCTTCGCCAAGTCAACAATAACCTAGAAGATGGTTGCTCAAAATATACAACCCCTGGGACATTATGAACCCCACCCTTTTCTGTACACTAAAGATTGTAATGTACATACCTTCACTTTGCTGAGAAAGAATCAGATACACCCAAGGGGCTCTTTCTTTTGCGCCCTCCACTTTGTCTTCAGATTAACCCTTTGATTTTACATGTGTAGTGAAATAAGAAACTGGTGTTGGTGAATGGCTGGGTTCTCAAGACAAGCTCCTTTGTCAAAAAGGCCAACTAATGGTATCTCAGTTGTGATTTCCTGGAGCCACTTCATTTATTTATCCGTGTTCTTTCAAACCAATCTCTGAATCGGTTGGTTGTCCTGGGGATTTGCTTACGTGAGTTGTTTGTACTGCTGGCTAGATCAGTAGTTTCACAGGCTGCTCTTGGCATATAGTGGAACAGTCGACAAGAAAAAGATCCCAAAATAGAAGGGGGAAAAATATGCCTTGATGCTCCCTTGAAACCTTGTGTGCTTAAATTCAAAATATGTGCCTGTATTCCTCCTATTCAATAAACACAAGAGTCAAGCCTCTTCTATAGGCATGTGAAATTGTAAGCCTCATAAGAAGCAGCCTCTGCTTCAGGATGGACTCCTATCAGTTTAAACATAAAGTTTCTCATATGAGCTTGAGTTTCCCTTCCTGATTTTCCCCTACTAACCCAAAGAGAGCAAGCAGTACCCAATGCCAAGGGTTAAGAAAGATTCCTTTGAAATTGCAGGGGAAGGATTTAGGACCTCACTGAAATTGGATTATGACTTGCCTTGGCCCTAATTTTCCTATGCTATCTGGAGCGCCTTAGATTCTCCACACTAGCTATAGCCAGCAGTGTGCAAGACCTGATATGTGCAAGATTCCCTTTGTTTTCTAATGATACACTTTAGGGGACACTAACCAAGTCTGATGCAAAACAAGGGCTGAGATAAGGAGCTGAGGCATGAATATGGATCAGCGCATTCACATAGCTAGTGATTGGTAGCAAGTCTTGCACCTATAATTCATCTCTAGGGTTTCCCCAAGTGTTCTTTTTCAGCAACATTTTAGCTGTTGCTATAATTGGAAAAGGGGGAGTCAGCAGCATTTACACATTCCCGGCAAAATACCTAGCAATTTCCCAACCAAACCTAATTCTGCTTACTCTGCTGCAATGTAGGAATAATCAATGTTCTTCATACATTTTCTGGCACTATTGATATAGTGTAAACCATCTGGAAATGTTTAGAAAAGGTGGGAATATTTTTTTAAAAAGGCCAACAATCCCACACTTTAAAAACACAAGTGCTGTGAATAACTTTCATACCAGAACACTTTCCACTGGTTCTGGCAGTTGGTATGCTTGTTGCTGCCAACTCTGAGTCAAACACACCAAACAAGGTGGACTGGCTGATTGATTTGGGGGTGGGGTATTATGTAACCCAATCCAGCTGTCTTTGATGTTTGCCTTGCAGCTCCTACCTAGCTTGAGCAAGCTGCTTTTCAAACTAAAATGGATTTGCCCTTTTCAGTCCTATAATTCAATGAAGGCAATTTAAAAAAAAAACACCATCCAGCTCTTTTTAGGACTGCATCCTATTTTTTTGTTCCCTTCTTCCTTCAAAATTATCTGTTAATTTTGAAGCACACCTCAAATTCTTTGTGAAATTTATTTAGTAGAGAGCAGGTTTGTTAAACTCCGTGGGACAAGCAATTGCCTTTAATTCCTTGCTAACTGTCCTTTTCATCAAGTCCTTGCTTCATGTTGAGAAGTTGAAAAAAAAATTGGATTAGCAAAACCTGCCCACTTACATCGTTCTGAAATTATTGTATTGGGTCTGCATGATTCAAGTGATATGGAAGATCAGTCATTCCATTCCAATAGTCTGATGAGCCAATCACATTTAAAGATTAATCTCCAGCTGAGATAGTGTTAAATAGAAGGCCCTATGAAGAAGTTAAAATAATAAGATCTGCTCACATCGTAGTATGAAGGAGTAATGTACACAGAGAGCATATGCACCAAAGACAAATTCCTTGTTTTTCGAATCACACTTGGCCAATTCAATTCAATTCAATTCAATTCAATTCAATTCTATTCTATTCTATTCTATTCTATTCTATTCTATTCTATTCTATTCTTATTCTAATGCTATGTGGCAAAGAGCTTCAGAATATGGGCTAAATCTCAAATTAATTGATAAAGTATAGGAAAAAATGAATAGTTTGGAAATACTCCAGATGGATTTTCTTTTTTTTCAAGTGATTTGTTTTGGCCAGGCTTTGTCCATTTTCTTTTTTGCAGTTCCATGTTTTTCCCTGTCAATCTTGAAATGTACCACTCAAGGTTATTTATGACCCTTGGTTGAAGAAAAGAGTGTCCAGTCCAGCTGTGACCTTAGCAAACTTTCTCAATACATCAAACTAATTTTTAAACCAAATTCCAGGCAGAACTGATCTCAGCAATACCCTAACACACAGGGTACACCCATGTCTCTTTTATAGTGTCATCAGAGAACCCATAAGGAGAGGTGTGCTGGTGATTCATACAGAACACGTTAGTTGCTGAAAGGACAAGGTCTGCTTGTTCTTGTTGGAGGTTGTGAAAGACTTAAGACAATTGCTACAGAAAACCCCTGCTGGAAAAGATGATATGAAATCTTTGCAACATTATAATGACTGAGTGGATATTTTGCCCACTGCTTCAACAAGTGAAAGGCCAGAGACTCTTTTCTCAGATATCAGGTTAATCCATGTAGCTAATACTCTCACAGTTTATACAAAGAAAGATTGAAGCAAAACACATACACACCTGGCTTTTCCTGCCAGATAACGCAGTGCTCTTATGCTTCTGGGGAACAATGCTATTTGTGTCAATCGCAGACATTGTATTATCCATATCATACAGAGCCAAGAGATGTTTGGAAACAGCTACAAGGAGGGCAGAAAATAGTACAAATTCCAGAACACTCAGAGAATTGTTGCCACCTTCCTGTGGCTTTCCTTACATGCATTACAGTTAATGAGAAGTCCTCCAAAACTCACATCTGTCACTCGAAGGCAGAGAACCAATTATGGTAGGCACTACCATTTCCCACTCTTAGCCCAGTTTCTGTTAAGCAAAGCACAGTGTTTCGTATGGCTCCAGTCTGTGGTCTACAAATATCACATATGCCAGCAAAAACAGTCCTTTGGCTACTTCTTGCTGGTGCTGTAAACAAAGTCATATTACTAAAAAAAAGGGACAAGTATTACTATTTACATGTTTGTTTCTTTGAAAAACACCGTGAGAACCTGAAGAAAAATTGGATGAAGGATCTCTGTCCAGAGAAAGCCAAGTATATCAGGGACCTTTGATCAATGTACCTATTTGGATCGTATGAAGCTCTGTGGAATCCCATTTGATGCAAGATGTCCAGTTGCTACTGGGCAAACCTGGCAATATTCCTGTAATTTGAGGATACAAGTACATAACGGCACAAAGCAACATTTTTGAGATTCACACAGACCTTTTAGCTTTTTTAGGGGCAGAGACCAGGGCCAGGTAGGAACATTTGGGGTTAGGTCTCTAGGAATATGTTCATTAGAATATCTCTTCCGACTGTACAAAATCCAACAAATGCTGGATCTATAAACATTTATTTGAAAGACTTTACAGACACCCAGTGTCTAATTACCACTGTATAATGGCTGTACAATATGCCAAATTAGTATTTGAGATGCTCAAGCATCTCACTTGATGGATGGGATTAAGACAGAAAAAAAAACCTCTGGCAGTTCAAAGATATCATTTCACTGTGAGAAGGCTTTAGGATGATTATTGTTTTTTAAAAAATGTGTAAAACAAGGAACTCCCAAGATCAGTTGGGTAAAAATTGTGGTCTGGCAAGAAACCAAGCCCAAATCATATGTTTATAGAATGCTAGTTGAGCCAAACCTACTCCATATATCTTGCTGGATCTCTGAATTATATTCTGGACATAAAAATGATACACTGCCCAGTGAAAATGGGTGATTTGACACTCTTGTTAATAGAGAGAGGGGGGGAGGGAGGGAGGGAGGGGGGGGAGAGAGAATAATTTATATATAGATACATTCGAATGTTGGAAATTTAGAATATAAATGAAAAAGGGGATGGTGGCAAAGACTCTTAGCATAGTTGTGCTTATAATTAAACCCTTCTCACACCTTCTTGCATCTGGCACTGGAGTAGTTTCTGCTACTTGTTTATTTATTGTACCTACTGCAATCATGACACTCCTGGGTTTATGTACTGTATACTTGGCAATGATATATAAAACTAAGTGGTTTCTTAACCACAGCAACCACTTGTCTTGAATTCTGTTAAGCTAGTTAATATTGTCTGCCACTACAATTTCTCTCCAAACCAGGAAAAATTATGCTCACATGGAAATGCATTATCTTCTAACAGGTGGACGACATACAGTTGGAATAGAACTCGGCAAAAACACCTGTTGGACACTCTTGGTAAGATGCAGCACCTAGCAAGTACTGTAATGTAATAGATTTTCACTGTGCCAGAGAGAAACCTGAACTAGTATCATATTCTGCTAATTTTGCGAGATTGTTTGTCATAATGGTTATAAAAGTAATCGCCCGACTTAGTAAACATGAAAAAATTGGTGTTAGTGAGCCTGTGAAAGAAGCCATCACTAGCATGGCTTTCTTTGACAGAAACTGAGCCTGTCAGAAAACTTCGTGTATATAATCTCTCCTTATTCAGGTTTTCTTCTCCCCCCCCCTTTTTTTGTCAATAACATGAAAATGAATGTTCAAGACAATACCGACAGGACTGTTGGAAGAGTCTGTCTTAGAGGTTATCTTGGCCATAAGGCCGCTGCAGTATACGGCACTGAACCATCTGGTCCACATGAATTATCTACAAGGAACACAGTGTCTCTGATCAAACAGTCACCTCTGTCTTGCTGGCTGTGCGGTAATGGTGGTGGTGTCCTGGGATATAGTGCAGCTGCTCCACTGTGTTGTGTCGCCGGGAGGCAAATGCTTGGCGCTTGGCTGAGGTTTGGTTCATACTCAAGGTGTTGTACAAGTTATTTGAGGCACTGGGATGGGAGTGCATCTTAGTCATCCGGTAGCGATCCAAGACAGGCGTTGAAACAAAGACATCTGAGTGGGACAAGGCTCGCGACATGGACTGCTCTCCAAAACCTGAGTGTTCTGGAGAAAGCAGAGGGTCTTGGGAATGAAGACGCTCAGTAGACAACAGTTGTTCATCTGAGAGGATATGCTCATAAGACATACTGAAGTCCTCAGGCATGATTCTCTCTGGGGACAACACCCGGTCCTGGGACATGGCCCGCATTACACGGCGTGGCCGGTCCCTTTGGCTGACTTGTTTCTGGGATAACTGGATGACGTTGAGAGGGAGGGTCCCCCTTGCTGCTAAGTCTGGAAGGTGCCTCTTTCGAGAGTAATAGTCCTCTGCATCCTTGTCAGCTACATAGAGAAGAGAAATTGAAAGATAAAATAAAGGGCTGGGAGAAGAGGTAAAAGTAAGAAAGAGGGGATACCACATCTTTTTTCAGAATAATCAATATATGAAATGGGTGTCAAGGCAGTAAGCAAAGTACTTGGGAACTACACCCTTTCATATGAATTGATGTCCAATCAATTTGGGACTATGATGTTGGTTTGAGCTCCGAGCTTGGTAATTTAGTTACAAATGTTTTGTCACCGTTTGGGGCGACCTCGTCAGTGCATTTTGAATAGTTCAAATCTGAATTGCTCACAATTCAAAACACACTGAGGATAGCTCCTCGAATGGTGACAAAACGTTCGCAACCAAACTGTCAAACTCGGAGCTCAAACCAACAGCTTAGGTACCAACCCAAGCTACTAATATTCAAACACATTTCAATATGGGACTATGCTGCACTCGGTACTTAGCGCAAAGGGGCCAGATCTTGCCAAGTTTGCACTCTCAAGATGTGTTGAGCCTGCAGCTCTAACTTCCAGAACTGTGGAGCGAAGGGGTGCATTGGATTATGAAGCAAAGTTGTATCTGAAAAAAATCATAACTGAAGCAAAGCATCCTTTTGAAACAGCATTTCTATAATAAAAAATATAGATGTCAAGACTACAAAGTAGAAACAGCAACTCCTCTGGTTAATTGTTTTGTATCTTGTTTTTATTTTACTCTGTTGTTGGGAGCAACCCAGAGTTGCTTAAGATCAGGATGCATTCAAATTAAATAGAATGAATGAATGAGTGATTTAATGAATGAAAGAATGAATGAATGACCAACTCGAAGAAGGCATATATCTTAAAGTCTGGAGCTTCAACATGGGTGCTAGCAGATATTATCCTTCTTACTTTATTCCCACCAGATTTGTTGCACTTCTTGGGTCAAGCTATGAGTAAAATGCTATTAAAGAACCCAAGTATGATATTGTAACTCCAAAATTGTTAGAAGATTCTCCCAGATTGCCCAACTTCAAAACTGATTGCTGAATTTTATAGAAGACAATTGCAAACTTAACAGAATTTAAAGGATATTTGCATTTGGTATGTATGACAAGTCATTTTGACAAGCAAGTAAGCGTATACCCAAATTCTCTGTCAATATTCTTTGACTAGAGGAAATGCCATCAACCGAACCAGATACCAACCCCAATACTTGTATATCCTTGCTTTGCCTACAATGTGACTTTTTTTTTAAATGCAAGCTTTCTTAATTAATAATGAGTTTCATAAATTTATTTATTAATCACATTTATATAGCTCTCCATTTGATGGAAAATGAATCTGGGTGGCATACATTCTTAAGAACTATCGTCCTGTCTCCAACCTTCCTTTTTTGGGAAAGGTTGTTGAGAAGGTGGTGGCGCTTCAACTCCGACGGACCTTGAATGAAGCAGATTATCTAGACTCCTTTCAGTCTGGCTTCAGGCCTGGATACAGCACAGAAACCGCTTTGGTCGCACTGACCGATGATCTCTGGCGGGCCAGGGATAGAGGACATTCCTCTATCCTGGTGCTTCTTGACCTCTCAGCGGCTTTCGATACCATTGACCATGGTATCCTTCTGCGACGCTTAGAGGAGGTGGGGATGGGAGGCACTGTTCTATGGTGGTTCTCCTCTTACCTCTCTGACAGGTTGCAGTCGGTGTTGGTTGGGCGACGAAGGTCGACCCCTAGGCCCCTTAAATGTGGGGTGCCGCAGGGTTCGGTCTTGTCCCCCCTCTTATTCTACATGAAGCTGCTGGGTGAGATCATTTGACAGCACGGGGTTAAGTATCATCAGTACGCTGATGATACACCATTATATCTCTCTGCCCCGTGCCAGCTCAGTGTAGCAGCAGACGTGATGTCCCTGTGCCTGGAGGCTGTTAGGATCTGGATGGAGGTAAACAAAATTGTGCTCAATCCCAACAAGACTGAGTGGCTATGGATGTTCCCCCCGAAGGACAGTCCAGATAGTCCATCCTTGATCCTGGGGGGCGAAAACTTACACCCCCCAGAGAGGGCATGCAATTTGGGGGTCCTCCTGGATTCACAGCTGACACTGGAACATCATCTGTTGGCTGTGACCAGGAGAGCCTTTGCCCAGGTTCACCTGGTGCACCAATTGCGGCCCTACTTGGATTGGGAGGCACTCCAAACTGTCACTCATGCCCTAGTCACCTCACGGCTGGATTACTGCAATGCGCTCTACATGGGCTACCCTTGAAAAGCGTTTGGAGACTGCAACTAGTCCAGAATGCAGCCGCGCGAGCGATATTGGGTGTACCAAGGTACACCCATGTTACACCTATCCTCCGCGAGCTGCACTGACTACCCATTGGTCTCTGGACACAATTCAAGGTGTTGGTTATTACCTTTAAAGCCCTACATGGCTTAGGACCAGCATACCTGTGAGACCGCCTACTGCCACATTCCTCCCAGCGGCCGGTAAGATCCCACAGGGTTGGCCTCCTTCGGATGCCGTCAGCCAGACAATGTTGGCTGGTGGCTCCCCAGAGGAGAGCCTTCTCTGTGGCTGCCCCGACCCTTTGGAACGAACTACCCCCAGAAATCCGGACCTCACCCACTCTCATGGCCTTCAGAAAAGCTGTCAAGACCTGGCTTTTCCGGCAGACCTGGGGCTGTTGATCTCATTGTTGAGGTCCAGCCCTGACTGAAATGAATGTATTTGTGTCATTTTAACTTGTCTTATTTTATTTTTACTTTCTTTCATTTTCTTTCTCTTCCTTTCTGTAAGCCGCCCGGAGTCCTTCGGGATTGGGCAGCCTATAAATAAAATTAAACTTACAAACTTACAAACTTATACAACTCTTTTAGTTTTATTTTAGAAAAATCTTTCTAAATTCAGATTTTTTCTGTCTTTCCAATATTGTCTGCTTTGGGGGTTTAATCTTTATCTTTCAAAATCAGTTTTCTATTTTTTTTCCTTACAGAAGAGAAACAAAGAATTATAAAAGAGAGACAGTGTTAGAATTAATTGTATTTAATTTGATTGTTCAAGTAGAAAGAGTTTCTGTTCTTCTTCTTGGTTAAGTCTTGATTTTCTTTGTTCTAATGTACCCCATTATAATAAAACTAGACCATAAAAGTTCTATAGGAAAACACATGGTAGCCTTTGTCTGTTGGATTATCAACAAGGGGAATATCTAAAAGCTTTCACGGGTTAGGTAGAAACAATCTACAGTTAGAAATAATGTCTCCATTTTAGTTTGGCAAAAGCACTGGCAAATTCTTCCCATTATTAAAATTCAGGAAAAGATATTTGCAACCCTGTATGGATTGTGCTAAGTTTGTTGATCGGAAAGGTTGGCAGTTTGGTGGTTCAAATCCCTAGTGCCATGTAATGGAGAGAGCTCCCGTTACTTGTCCCAGCTTCTGCCAACCTACAGACCGAAAGCATGTAAAAATGCGAGTAGAAAAATAGGGACCACTTTGGTGGGAAGGTAACAGCGTTCCGTGTACCTTCGGCATTTAGTCATGCCAGCCACATGACCACGGAGATGTCTTCAGACAGCGCTGACTTTTCAGCTTTGAAACAGAGATGAGCACTGCCCTCTAAAGCTGGGAATGACTAGCACATATATGCCAGGGGAAACTTTACCTTTACCTTACGGATTGTCCTAATTCTGTCTATCATCTGAGGAAATGATTGTAAAATTATGGATATCAACAAAGGGGCAAGAGTCATAGAAATCATTACTGCATCAGATCCATAGTGATTATTTCATTGGATTTAATTTTATTTGAAAAATTTCCTCAAGGAAATTATAAAAGTGGCTCACAAACATTTAAGAAAATAAGAGGAAATAGCTTAGAGAGATCTTGAGGAAGGAGACAGTAGATAAACTGTATAACTAACTTGAACATTTCTCTCTTTCACCACATCCTCTGCATTATGTTTATCCAAAAGTAGCTAAGGCAACTTCCATCATATTCAGCTGGCAAAACTAGCCCAGCAAAACTGCAAAGGTAATTTCTTTTTTTCTGAATCTCTGTCTCCCTCCCTGATTCTTTTCCTGCTTTCTTATCAAGGAGGCAGGCTTTTTCTTTATCCCTTAAATAAGCTGCGCTCTGTAACATGTTCAAGAACCTAACCGCCTTAGTATCTGTGTATGTTTGTGAATGCAACATCTCAAATCTTATGCCTTTTGTGCTCTAACAGGGAGACTTGAACATTTCTCGTTATTTGCTGTAGCTGAACTATGTGTATGGTCCATTAAAATCACTTCTTGAAATCTCCTACTTCTTCTTCTTCTTCTTCTTCTTCTTTGGAACTCCCTCTTCATCCTTCTGTCACTAAACTGAAGATTCTCACAAGTGTCATAACTTAGGAGTCCCTTTGTATTGTTTTCCATTATAACCTCAGATATTTTTTTGCAGCTACACTTCCCATTGACGATCAACTGGCTATTATTTGATTGCTCTCTAAATCATTGATCTCAAGTACTGTTTAATAAATTGTATTTTTGCCCATTGATAATAGTCTAATTTTTGGCCCTATGAAATGTATTAAAATGTATAAAAGTATAAACATGAAAGGTATAAAATGTATACATTTTATAAATGTATAAACCTAATAATCTGAAGTGTTAAGATGACACTGAATTGGTGCAGTGTGATTTAATGAGTATGACAAAGTGGCCACTGAGGCAAGTTGGTGTGACAGAAAAGATTTCTCTGTTATAGGAAGAAAGAATGAAACACAGCCACAGCACCAAGATGCTTACAGGCACTGTATTTCCCTCCACTACCCTTCTTTCTCAAAAATAAATAAATAAATAAAACTCATCCACATCAAGTAGTAAGTTAATGAAATGAAACCTACTTAATCTCTTCAGAGAAGAATATTTACTTGGATTAGTCTTAATTGCAGATTCATACGATGGAGGGAGGTGCGAGAGGTTCTGGAAAGATCTGGAGAAGGACAAATCATAGGGCTCTGTAGCAGAGGTGAGGATACTGTTCATCCGTGGTTTTTCTGCAACAAAAGGAGAGAGAGAGAAAAGGAAGCTACAAGAATAGCAGTGCCCTTGGATTTGGGGATTCAATTGCACCCATTCACTTGTCTAATGCTGCATAATGAAGTCATTCCAACGGATGCTACCTGAGCTGCAAATAAAGCTCTATTGGGCATTGTTTCTTCAGCCCACTGCAATGGTTAATGAAGGCATTGTACATTGATTCAAACCCAATAGAGCCTTTGTCCTTTGCCAAATGAAGGCTAAGAAGACAGGCCTCTTGTTAGGAGTGAGCAAGTGTAAATGAAGTAGCTATTGAACGTTCATTTTTGTTTGAGAGATGAGCATGAACAAGTCCCCCTGGCATCCCGGTATGCTCGATGGACAAGATGCTTTGAATTTACTATCTGTACAAACTGCACAATCCCAATGACTAGGAAGATAATTAGACCCCTATCAACCTTGAAATATACCCACACTATACACATTGTTTCTGGTCATGTTTGGCTCATGCTGGAACATGAACACAATTTCAAAATCTTTTTCAAAATATTCTGCAAGCATACTGTACAATAATACTCCATAATAAGGGAAGGTGTTCAGCTCATTTAAACCCAACCCCTTCTGTGAATTCTACGCAATTAAGGACTCAGATTGCAGTTTTATACTCCAGGTACCTGAAGGCCATATTTTTGTTCCAACTGTCTCTCACCCTAAGGCAGTTCTTCCCAACTGGATTCCCTCCAGCTCCACTGGACTTTGGGGTCATTCTAGTGAAGAATTAAAGGAGCTTGTTTTCCAATCCAATTGGTAAGGGAAGATTTCCCCAATGCATTGATAATGGTGGTGTCAGATGAACTGATTCTCATTCCAGAAGAAACTTTCTGCTTCATCTCTTCTCCAGTTGCATTTTTACATCCTGCGTTAGTCTAACTTTTGGGAATTAGGAGCAATCAAACCTGCCTCCCTAATTTTAAATGCTTAGACAAATGGTTCTTCATTACTCATTCTGGTGGATGTATTTTTTTTAAAAAATATTATCACTTGTAATTATGGAGATAATGACGATAATATCTAAAGAGAGCCCTTGGGTGTTTTCAATGCAGACCCAATGTAATTTTCTATTAGCATACATTGCAATTTGTCATTTTACAGTCAAGCATTATTCTTAAAGTACAGAATATATAGGACACATAGAACTTAGCATGGCCCATTGGTGAGAATCACTGCTAAATACGACAATTTCAATGGGTTACAGTATAATCTCTGTATAGTATACCCATAGAGCAGTAAGACCTATTGTTTACAAGACTCTTAGAATTAAGAAAATCTGATAGGAGAGCAGCTTTTGTAATTTAAATAGTTGAAAGAGAGTTTTAAGAACTTGTTCTAACTTTCTCTCATACTATGGCAGTTCTTCCTAGCTGGGTTCTCCGCAGTTCCATTGGACTTTAATTCTATCTGGAGATTAGGAGAATAGTTTTCCATTGCAAACACTATCTATGTTAGTTGACAGCCTTTTCATAACCCACTCTGTTGAAAAAGCAACCCACGGTTTCCCCCCACAATATTGCCACTTCTTATGTGCCTATGGGAAGGCAGTTCGCTGCATGGAATAACTGAACACAAAGGTGAACGTTCTCTATTCTAAACCCAGCAGCTCTTGACATTAATTCATCATGTGACTACATTTTTCCTAATACAAACAAATAATTAATATTTATGTTATCTTGTGAATCCTTTAGGAAGACTTGGAAAAACGGTACCTCACTGTACGGTATTGTGCAGGGACATTATGTGGGATTTTAGACTCGAGGTAGCTTCAAGTAATGAATTGTGGTGCCAGGACACATTTCCTACACTTATATCTCAAAGAACAACTAAAGGGTTTGTTTAATATTGAATTCACCTTCCTTTGCTTGTATCAGATCATATGATTAAAGGCTAACTTTTAAATCAACTTTCAGCGGCTCAAACTAGAAGAGAAAGTCTATCTGACAAGTCACAACAGTTCTAACACACATAAAAGATAATATTAAAAACAACAGTAGTTAAAATGGTGAAACCACAAGGATATGGAGGGGGTGCTCACCATTGCATATAATGTACCTCGGTCATATTCCCAGATAAGAAATGACAACCAAAGTGAAAAAGCATGGCTCTTTAAGACGCTAAGTGGCTAGAAATCAAGGAGGATATGATACATAAATGTGTATTCCTAAGGCTACTGGAAGCCCTCCCCATCTGTGAATATCTGTTGACTGAGATAGCCAACTTAATTGGCAGAAGAAGTGTTAAATAGGTCTGGATCTCTACTGAATTGTGTCGAAGCCATTCCATAATCACTTCATCATTACATCTGCAATTCGCATACACAGATTTTAACAGCCAGAAAAATTGTTGGCCCTTAAACAAGCATATTCTTGAGATGTCAAATTATTGTGTTCTTGGACTCTGCTTTATGAATCACAATAATGGATGTTCTGTTTCCATGCATAGACATTTATGGACAATACAATCACACCATTAAGGTTCGAAAGTCAGTAGTAAGGCATTTTATCTCAAGGAGTATATTGTCACGCAGTATAATATGCAGCGTAGACATGGACACCACCCATATGGCCAATTATCTGTTTGCAATTCATCCTATCAAAAATTGGAAATCATGTTGGTCCTTTGTCAATTATTTTTTATGCAGCTAGCCAAGGTGAAAAAATACCCATGGACAGAAATGCATATAGTTGGACTCTGCATGTAGCATTGGGAATATTTCTTTGGCTTTGGTGAGTTATCAGTTCAGTCTTTTGGTTGAGCATAACAAGTCCCTCGTATAGATGTCCTGGCCAGAGGAAACAATCAGACTGAATGACAGATGAGACATTCCCTTATAACTGCAAATTTATATACAATTCTTTATGATTACTGGGAGGATATTTCTTCTGTAATTAAACATCTAATGGAAGATTTAAATTGCTTTCCTATAATTCGTATACAATTACACTGGGATGTAATATTAAGCTCACTGTTATCTCATGTGGGTCTTTACATACTGCGGCACATAATTTACACTGTGTTAGTTGGGTGTCTGTCTGATAGTAAGATGGAGACAAAAGAACTGCCTAAGCAACTAGACAATTTGTTAAAAATGGAAAATTAGTTTACTGCACATAACTGCATATGTAGGCATTCAAATGTGAACCCTGCTTAAATTCAAGAAGACCCATTTTTTTAATGACACATAAAAGCCAATTGATTTCATTTTTCCTGCTCCTAATTTGTACTTGGCTATCTGAAGTAGAGCCTAAATAAAGTTGCTACCTACTGCTAACATGATAAAGTCTCTTGTCTTTGGTTGACAAGTCCTGCTTTCATTTACTGCTACCGTTTATTAATTGTGGTACTGCCTGTTTTGTTTTCCTGCTGTGTCCCAATGTTCAGTTTTGCCTCCCAAATACTTCAACCCACATCTAATAAACTGGTACAAGTCCTCCCATTTACCAGGCAACAGGAAGCATAGATTCAACGTAACACTGTAAACAGAAATTTTATCAGTGCAGAAAGCTACATCTTCAAGAAGGGCTCCAGAAAGAAATAACATTGCCAGTGATCAGCATTGGAATTATTAATAATCTAAAAGCAGTATATGTAAGTCAATACTGTAGTTTAAAACTGGATAAGAGCAGTGGAGAGAGAATCCTGCTAAAATTGTAGATTCCAATCAGAGGTGGTATTCAGCAGGTTCTGACCAGTTCTGAAGAACCAGTAGCGGAAAATTTGAGTAGTTCGGAGAACTGGTAAATACCACCTCTGACTGGCTCCACCCCCATCTAGTCTCTTCATCCTGAGTCCCAGTTGATCAGGAGGAAATGGGAATTTTGCAGTAACCTTCCGCTGGAGTGGGGAGGGAATGGAGATTTTACAGTATCCTTCCCCTGCCATGCCCACCAAGCCATGTTCACAGAACCGGTAGTAAAAAAATTTGAATCCCACCACTAATTCCAATTATGAAATGAGAGAAGTTGAGACAGCCCTCAGATTGATCACAACAAAGGAACATTGCCACTTGATCAGGAGAGCATCAAGGCATGATATTTTTCACCATGAACAAGTTATTGCAGACAGGGAGGGAGGAAAGGAGGGCTGCATCTACTAGTGTCAGACTCAGATCCTTAGCAGCTCCACTTGGAGTCCTTAATCAGCAGGGCTGGGATGGAAAAATCCTAAGATTCAGAAGACCCAAAGCAATTACAGTAGACAGGGCTGGGCCAGCAGATCTGCCTCAGTGGGCATCTTCCTAGATTCATATCAACCTCTGCAAGAGTAATAGTAATTCTGTCCCCAATATCATACTTTCCAGTGTCACCAGCTGGCATATTCTTGATCAAACAGTGAGCTATTGAGCAATGCATATATGCGAGTCCAAACTTGTCCCAGAGAAACTTAATGCACAGTAACAGAAATGTGCAAGTATATTTCTATTTGCAGACGTGTGATTAAAGAGGCCTGCTGAAACAGGATTCACGTGTGCTCCTTGCAACAGGCAAAAGCTACCTTAGAAGCAAAGCTGAAGATTGCTAAGGCACTGGGGAGTGTGACATTAAATGACATCTTTTCTTTACAGACCCCCGACTAGAAAATCATGCTGTTAACACAAAGTATGCAGAATTAAGCACCCCACATTTATTAAAAGAGTCTTGATGATGAAATTGGAGAGGTTTTTCCACTATCTGACTTGCTATGCTGTTAACTGGAAATGAAAATGAAGCGAGGCTGCAAATAAAAAGTCACCTTGAAACCGAATTGCCCAGTATTTAGCAGCACCAGAGAACAATTTGAAATGGCTCAAGGAGTTACCTCATACATAATATAGTTGGGAATCAAGGTCAATGTCTTGATAAGTTTTTTTTTTCAGAAGGGACAATGCCTGCATTTGATTATGAAGTAACTGTCAGGGTTGCAAATAACACCCCCAATGAAAAAAGACTGAGGCTAGAGTTTCCTCAAAGTTCCATTTTGTTAA